TGACAATCGGGGTCTTTCAATTCACAACCCACGACTCTGTATATTATAAAAGTTTAAATTAATTAAATTAAATTAATTTAAAACTGTATAAAATAATAAAAATATCACATAGAATAAATACTCAGCTTATTTCTATTATAGCCTTTATTGAAATTGCATGTCATCTTAAGTCAGATTGTCCATAACAATTTACATACTGGATGCAAGTTAAGTTCTAAAATGGAGCCAAACTTTGGATAACCGAATCAGTGTTGCCAAAAGCTGCCTAAAGTTACGACAGCGCACAATATATGTCCAGTTTGTCGCATAGTTGAATAGTAATTTGAAAGTTAAACACTGATATAAACAGTGAGACTGCCTCCCTTTGTATATTTTACCGCTTGTATAACAGATTGTATTCTGAGGAATTGTTTGAAATGATGCCCACAGCCACTTTTTATTATTGCACTACTCGTCATCGACGGTTAATTCATCCTGACGAGACAACCTAAGAGAAAAATCGACGATCCCAAGCTCACTTAGCAAACTTAAGTCTAAGGCCAACCATCTGGACGAGTCGCGGTCCTCCACCGTGCGTTTTTCAAAGCACTTTCTTCCACGCACAACCACTCTTTGAAATTAACTTCCAGCAGCAGTACTTCCGAACCGATACGACAACATAACCTTCAAGAAAAGATCATATTCCTATTTAAAAGGCCGGCAGCACACATAGGCGGCGGTAGTCACTTACCATCAGGTGAGCCGCACGCTCGTTTGCCCCCTGTGTTGTAAACAAAAAGGCGAAACTTTGCCTCCCTAAGTGTGTTCTACTGCTTGTATAGTGGATTATATGAAAAATTGTTTGAAATGATACTCATAACCACTTTTTATCACCGCACTGCTCGCCATAGACGGGAAATTCATCCTGACACGCTTAAACGTAAAATGTCACGTACAGTGCGGTTTTAGAGAAGTTTTCTTCCGCGAATGTTCAGGCTGTGGAGTGAGGGCCCTGCCGAGGTTTTCCCTAGAGATTACAGTATGGAGTTCTTCAAAAAGGGTGTATTAAGATTTCTTCAGATAAACTTGATACTCCTAGTGTTGCATAAACTATAGTAACCGTTAACCATCAGACAGGCTGTATGCTTGTTTGCCAAATTTGTGGTATAAAAAAATATAGAAGAAAGTTTGTTTTTAACAGTTTAACTAATCACTATGAATTTTGGTATACAGTTACTATGTGGGATGGAAAAGGGCATAGGCTATTTATCCCGTTTAATGATCTTACCTCGATCACGCAGATAAAGTTCTGTGTAAAAGTAAGCTATAAATACTAATTAATATAATTAATAATTAGTAAAAAATGTATGTTAGTAATAATTCATAAAACATGCAAATTAAATGGAAATTGTAAAAAAATCAAACGGGCATGTTAGACTGAAAATATTAGAATTTAGGAAGTTACATTCTACATAGATTCCTAAATAAAGTATTAAAAATTAAGTATTTTTGGTAGTCTTGGTTGTTCAAAAGTCGCTTTTATGGAGACCATAGTCTCTAATTATTATTAGTTTGAAAGTGCTCATTTTATTTGCAAAGTAATGTATTTATTTATTTCTAATTCTTAATTCGAAAATCATATAAATTTAACTACCACGCTTACCCGGTAATTCAAGTAGTCAAGACGTGGAGTTATGCAAAAAAGGAAATGCAGCCGGTTATGTTCACCGCAATAAATTTAATGTGGAAAATCGCGTTATCGTTTCGCCCTGGCTCGCACAGAAATTGGTTTGAGTAGGAAAGTATTTTTTTTTTACAAAGGTTATCCTTTTGTCTTATTTTTTGCAACTATATTTTTTTTTATTTATTTAACACCTTATTGTACACACTAATTATACATAAGAATATGACAGAGGTAATCAAATGTTCAAAGAAGAATTTAACTCTAAAAGAGTTCTCTTCCAGCATATTGCTTGATTGCATCTTCAATTTTCATGATTATTTTTGTAATGGATTATGTTTACTCCGGTTTTGGTTCAACTTTAATATTGTTCTTAGTTAATTATTGAAACTACATTATTGTGAACTGATTGTAATAAAGGAAACGCCGGTTCGTGTTGAAAAGTTATACTGACAGTTTATATAAAAAAAAATGAATAATTAAAAGAATAAAATATTGGAAATACAAATCACAAAGGAGTTTGTAACATACATTTTAATCTTTGTTTTCAAAACAGAACTTACCTTGTTGCTCATTATCATCATCATTTCAGCTATTATCCGTCCATTGCTAGACATAGGTCTCCCCCATAAACTGCTATAAGGAGCGGTCCTGAGCCACCTGCATCTACTGACTCCCTGAAATGCATTTGAGGTTGTCTCTTCATCTAGTAGGGAGTCGTTCTACAATGCGTTTACACGTTGTTGCTCAGGAATGCAACATTTGTGTATGTGTATGTGTGTGTGTGTGTGTATGAGCGCGCACGGACGCCTGCGTTTGTGTGTGTGCGTGTGTGTGTATGTGCGCGCGCGTGCGTGCGTGTGTGTGTGTGTGCGTGTGTGCGTGTGTGTGTGTATTTGTGCATGCGTGCGTGTGTGTGTACGTGTGTGTGTGCGTGTGTGTGTGCGCGTACGCGTGTTCGTACTTGTATTGACAGTGATGAAAGACTTAATTTATTAAAATTTTCAAACAATAACAATTGGTTCTTGACTAATTAAGCATTAATAATAATAATAATATATAATAATAATTATGACCGCTTTAAATGAGTTAAAAAACGAATATGCTAAAATATAAAGATATGTTAGAATATAGAATAAGATAAAAATAATATTTATTCAAATAGACTTGTTTATAAGCACTTTTAAGTTATCATTTTTAATGTTTCTGTTGCTGGGTTCCGGATGTCGTTATTTGTTGAGAAGAACCCGCAAGAAATTCGACTCTTTTCAATTTACTTATGTACAAAACAATATTACATTTGTATGGTTACAGTGAATATAATAAGCATTAAGTTCTATTTATGTATATTATTCAATGTAATTTTTTACAATCGATCTAACGACATCCTATTCATTAGTATTAGGCTTAGAATATTATATACATAATGTATATATGTAATTTCACAAGCGAAATATCATATGATACGCAAAATCATACGTCACATAAACGACATCGCTTCATTAAAATCACTACAAATCACGCTAAATGAAGTCGCAGATGCTTAATGCGTTCGGATTTATTCGTGTGTCATCGGCTGCAGCCGTGTAGATCCTGGCATAAAATAAGCCACCCCCTTCCTTTCACGTGGGGGTCGTAAGAGGCGAATAAAAGAGAGATGGGCAGCAGAGTCTCTCTTAAAGCATCACTAAAAGTTGCGGTTGTCAATCCGCCTGCCAACCATGGCAACTACTGGTAAAATTTTCCTTGTTGGATAGGTTGTACTCAGCAGTGGAAAATTAACGATTGATACAACATCGACCGAGTTCAGTTAGTAGTGAATTGAAATCGCAGCATAAGGCTGTATCAGAGTGAGCAATTAGAGACTTATCCATACTTCGTTAAATTCAATATTCGTTCGCTGTTATCATAAAAATCATAATTCATATTTCACTTTCAATAGCAAATAGCAAGTGCGATATTAACTCATTGCGAGCGAAAATAACTTTTTGTAATTTATCACTAGTTATACCGCAGTGAATAAAAATAATTATTTCACTGAATAACAATGAATTAAATGTGATAATAATTTCGATGCTTAATTAATATTAAATGCTCCAAAACAGACGGTATAAGTAATGTTACTATCAAATAGAAATTTTGTACACAAATTGTCTGCTTCGGTACCTCTGATTTCCTGGCGTGAAGCACTTGTTTGCATGGCTGTGTTTCGTTTTGAAGGCTGGAATTTAGCAATTAAATTACAAGGTACACAGGCAAATAACTTAGTCCTCAAGAACGGTAACGTATGAAGGGTATTGTGAATGACACAGTATATCTATGGTACTGCTCATGTCTATAGGCAATAGTTACTACTTTCTATCAGGTGGGTCGTCAGCTTATTTGCCATTGTAAGTTGCATAGAAAAATTTCAAAAGGCAGTCCGAGGTATTTGCAGCATTCGTAACCAGCACCAAATTTCTAGAGTATAAATTTTTTTTTCTATATGAAATAGTTTAACTATACATATAACCAACTTGACTGGTATTTTAGTCAAGAATGCTTAACTATTTTCGGGATTATTCAAGAACCTTTCTTTTGAAGTTATTTAAAAGTAATAATGCATAATATTTCATAGAACTCAATTCACCTAAAGTACTTTTCTCGGAAGATGAATCTCCGGTATTTTTTAGTATATTTTCGCAAACAGCCCAAAAAAAAATAGTGACATTTTCATTTCATACATTGAATAATAACTATGTTGAGTTGTATTGTGTTATTCTTATTTATGTGGGCTTCACTCAAGTATTAAATTAGAGGATGCCAGACTAATTTCGAACTCAATAGGAGCCCTTATTCATGAGCGCGGTTCACGGCTGTGTCACGAATAGCACGTGAAATTGAGTAAAGCCGACATAAATAATTACGATATTTAATTAATTAAAAATCAATCAAACTGTTTAGGCTACATCGGATATCATGATTATCATACCAGTCTATCCACTAATGAACATAGGCCTCCCCCTATTGTGGGGTTGTGCCAGTAGTTGCCACCCTTAGCAACCGAATTAGCAATTGCAGTTAGGCTTTTAGTGATATTTTAAGTGGTACACTGCCGCCCATTCCTCGACTATTAAGTGTCCTTAGTCACCTTTTACGACATCCACGCAAAAGGAAAGCTGGCCCATTCTGGGTCGAGCCCACAAAGCACAACATCGGATACACATATTTGAAAACATTGCCATTGTAATAAAAAATAAAAGTTAATTACTAACTCCCTCTTTTTCAAAGTTATTTAAAAATAACAGAGTATAATGCCATAGAGCACTTAGTAATTCGAACTACTGTTTCGCTTCGACAGTACGCACGGTTCCAGATAAATTTCTAAAAGCGGTTTTCCCCGAACATGAAACTCCGCAATTTCTAGAATAATCACGCGAGAAGTCCAATGAAGTATTGTTATAACGGATTGGATTCTTCAATAAATTGACATCAATAAAAATGATATTTATAACAGGTTAGTATTTCTTTTTCTACCTATAATGAAATTACTTAGCAAAAAAATTATTACTTCAGTCGTCGAAATTTATATATGTACAATACGGAAGTACATTATCGATTGTAGAAGAATTAAATACATACATACATACATATCTGTCACGCCTGTCTCCCATTAGGGTAGGCAGCAACAATGGAACGCCAAATGCTTCGATTCAAACAAACCTCTTTGTCATAATATATAGAAAACGACCTCCAAATTGCATATAAATAGTTTTACTCATAAATACTAAAATGTATTGCACAGGAATCGATTTCCCAACCATAGAAAGCGTCAAGGTCATCCAGGCAGTCAACCAATCGGTTACAAGGTCGCTTATCGTCTGTCTTAATAAACCAAACTTAAATATCTTCTATCAATTAATTAGTTTTTCTCAACTCGGGATAAACAAAGTTAATCCATCACTATTAACAAGACCCATTTAGTACCAATTAATGTGGTTACTAGTACTTAAAATTCCTAGGTGTTCCAACTCACATAATGAATGTTGCTTTTCAGTAAAAGAATGTTAGATTAATTAAATTCCAAGCCTTCTCTGCCTCGACCTCTAGTACCAACTTAATACGACAAATATAACTAGACCTCTCGCGCCGCTTCCCATCTATTGATTTAAGATGAATAAGTGCGGGCTGAATGGTATCACGGAGATCAGGTTATTTTGGTCATGTATGTAGCTTTTCTTTTAAAAAATATAAAATTGTTTTTACTCCAATCTTAACAAGGAGATGTGCATAACAACCCTGTTTTCATTTAAACTATTACTAATAAATGTATGTAAAAACATTTGTATATTAATGAGGGACTTTTTATTACTTTTAGATTGGGGAATGTTAACATCATGTACGTTATGTAAAACTATAATCAGAAAAAGAGAAAAATAAGTGTAAAATATGACATAATTATTTATTTACCAGAGAGAGACTTTGTACAAAAGTCGATTGCTTGGGTACCTCTGTCCTATTCGTGTTTCAACTGTGAAGCAGCTGTGTTTGCATGGCTGTGTTTCGGGTTGATATGGCGTGAATTTACAGGGTACAGAAGAATAACACCTGAGTCCTCAGGAATGGCAACGCATGGGGGGTATCATGGGCGAAACAGTATACTCTGTTATGTCCATGATACTGCTCATGTCTATAGGCGACGGTTACCACTTTCCATCAGGTGGACCGTCAACTTGTTTGCCATTCTAAGTTGTATAAAAAAAATATTTACTGATAATATATAAGTATATATATATATATATATATATATATATATATATATATATATATATATATATATATATATATATATATATATATATATATATATATATATATATATATATATATATGGTGAGTTTTACAGATTTACCAATGCACTCACCAAAAACCAGAAAAAAAAATCTAATTATACTACAAAAATAAACATAAAAAATGCTATTCTGCGTAATTTGTTACCGCCAATTACCAAATAGAATTCAAAAAACAAATACTTTATTTTGTATATGTATTCTTTGAAGGATAAGCAAGCTGAAGTGGCAATGGGCTGGTCACATAGCTCGAAGAACCGAGAACCGATAAAGAATAAAGGTTCTTGAAAGATGACCGTCCACTAGTAGGAGTGCACGACCTTAAATGCATTGCATGGAGTCAGTGGATGCAGGTGAATCAAGACCATTCCTTATGACAATATGGGGTAGACAGATAATAGCTAAGATGGCAATGATGTATTCTTTTATCTCTTTTTTTTTGTATATGTGTCTGTATGGTATGGTAGGTCACGAAGATGGCAAGAAAACGAAGACTTTAACAATTGGATTTTATTTTACGTTTTTAATCGTTAATTACAGGTAATAAATAAATAGACGTGTGGTGTCGATCGTATCTAGGTGCAGACTGGGTGTGGCGTCCGTTGCGCCGATTATAAGTTTAAACGACCGCAAGCATAGACAATGACATAGACAAACTATTGAGTTTTGAGGCACAGAACGCGTCGCTTACAGTGTCTATCTATAATTATGTCTGTTGTTACAATTATGGGTACTGTAAGCAATGCAAATTATACATACCTACTTGTCTTACTAGGGGGGAAAGGGATTGTCAGTAATAGAGTTTGACAGCCCCATTGCTAGCAATATGCCCTATTAGGTCGACCTCCACGTGGTTCCCCCTGGAAACCGTCGTGAACAATTCTTGTTGAATTCGTCACGATGGGCTAACTGATCTGCTTCATGCTCACCTGTCATCCCTCACTGGTGCCCCGCCGGTGTATACCGATAGCGCAGGCGGGGTTACCATTCCATTATCACCCATCAAAAAACCTGTCTTACTAAACACACTAAAAATGCTACTGGCCAAATTGCCAACAATACACTGTAAACATTATTTTTAAATGTAATAACTTTTAATTAGTACTTACCAGAGGGAGACTTTATACAAAAGTCGATTGCTTGGGTACCTCTGTCCCATTCGTGTTTCTACCGTGAAGCAGTTGTATTTGCATGGCTGTGTTTCGGTTTGAAGGGTGGGATATGGCGTGAATTTACTGGGTACAGAGGAATAACACCTAAGTCCTCAGGAATGGCAACGCATGGGGGGTATCATGGGCGAAACAGTATAATGTGTTATGTGCATGGCACTGCTCATGTCTATAGGCGACGGTTATCACTTTCCATCAGGTGGGCTGTCAGCTTGTTTGTCATTCTAAGTTCTGTAAAAAAAAAAAAATTAATATTTCAATTGCATCCAAGTAGTATAGTAAATACAAGTTCATAATTACGTAACTTTAATTAGTGAGCGATGCGAGTACATAAACAACATTAAACCTTATTAAAGTTAAAAGTAATAAATAGTAATAAATTTAACAGAGGGAGACTTTGTAAAAAAGTTATTTGCTTGGGCACCTCTGACCTATTCGTGTTTATACCGTGAAGCAGTTGTGTTCGCATGGCTGTGTTTTGGTTTGAAAGGTGGGATATGGTAGTGAATTTACAGGGTACAGAGGAATAACACCTGAATCCTCAGGAATGGCAACGCATGGGGTAGAATCATGGGCGAAACAGTATACTCTTTTATATCCATGGTACTGCTCATGTATATAGGGTGTACCGAAAATAGTGGACCAACGGGTTATGGGGGATAGTGAGACTTATTATCTCACAAAGGTACTAAAATTTATAGTCCTAGGTCTTGTAGTTATTAAATTATGCTTTGTTTTCAAAATGTGGTGAAAATATCATCCTAAACTAAATATTAAATTTTACCATATTTGTTTTTTTTTTATTTTATTGTTGTTTTTTGTTCAAGGTAGTTGTGAATACATAAGTCTTCCTAATTAAAATGATATTCAAGCATATTGAACAACAATAAAAAAATTAGAGCATAAACTAGATGCAAATTTTACGTTTAAAAGTTTTCTAACTGAAATTTGAACAAAGATGGTGTAAAAAAAATGTATCGTAACGTTTTGAAACTTTATTTTACATACATCTACGAGTACATCTCATATTAAATATTTCTAAAAAGATATAATTCTTAGGCATAAAGGAAATTTTTCCTTATGTCATTCAATATCATGGAATATTTTCAGGATAAAATAAAAATACTATTTTTGTAATAATTCGAAGAGAGGAATTTTTAGTAATTGGATTTAACGGTTCTATCGCTAACCATAACCGGACGATCTCCACGTGATTCTCCTTGGAAACACAAATACTAACTGACCTGTCTTCATCCTCACCAGTCACCAATCAATAGTATCCCGCTGGCATCAAAAAATAAATACTCAATAATTTAATATAATTAGCTCTTAAGCTAACAGACTTAATACGTAATATAAAAAGTAATTTACTAATAAGTACTCTTTGGAAACATATTAGTAACATTGTTTGTCTATAAAATATTTATAACAGAAATATATGTACGCATTGCTAGATACTTGAAATAAAAAAAAAAAATATAGAGAATCGTACAAAAAATGATAAATGAAACAAAAGATAAAGCGAAATAAAATTTTCTCTTTTTATTTTCTAATTTGTAAGTACACTACATCTAATTACCAACAAATTACATTAATAATGTATTTATCTATATTATGTATAAATATACATAAAAGTATGCTTTCTCAGTCAATTTATTATTTTTTTTTAGAAGTTTCTAAACTTTTTTTAATATATATACGCTGGCGGTACACTAGTGAGAAATGATAGGCAAGGATATAAACATGTCGGTTAGCTCATAATTCCATAAGAATTAACTACAATGATTTGCAGAAGGAAGCACAAGGAGGTCAACCTGTTAGTATATATTTTTAGCTATAGGATTTTTAGACCGCATTACTAACAATCAATTTCCACTAAGCATTCAAATAAATTTGTCAACAATAAAAATTATTAGATAATATCCGTCATAAATATAGTTGTATTATTATTATTAAAATTTATACTAAAAATACATATATGTAGATAAGCATGTTAAACGCAACAAAATACTCGTATATAGAATCCTGGCAGCCGACCCAAGGTAACTGAGTTTAAGTGGCGTTAAGAATTTATTCATAGGATAAAAATTACTTTAATCCCAGAGGCCACAGTGTATCTGAATGTATGCAAAATTTTGGATTTAACTTAGTAATTCTATAACGAAAGTTCATTTGTACTCATACATTCATAAATACTAATAAATACATATATTTAAAAAGAGGTGAAATCTTCATAGAAAATATTTTATTTCTGTAATTTAATTTACTATGTATTCTTCTACCGGTCACGTGTTTTCTCCTACGTATACTCCTGCGGTATTTAAAAGAGATACATTGAGAACGTCAAGATTACGATCGCCAACATAGTATTTATTGCTGTGACGGCGCCCTCAAGTTTGGACCATCTTACTTACCATCAGGTGGAGTGCGATCACTTTCATTCTAAAAAAAAGCTCGAAAAATAAGTAACAACAATAAATATGACATTATTTTTAAATGACAGTAGCCACAAGGTGGCAAAATATATTACAGAAAATATAATTGTTTTGAAACATTTAACTATGGATAACTATTTGAACTTGAAAATGTTGAATTTTAAAAAGGCTAACTTAAAAAACTCTAAATATTTAAGTGGCTGCCATGACCTTTAAGAATGAAACTCAATGTAGTTAAACTTCCAACATCTTTTCACATTTACGTACAGTTGCGTGCAGAGTTTGGCATGACAATATGCGATTTTTTATTAAACTCAAAAGTTTCGAGAATTGTAGTAAATATTGTGAACGTTATCATAATTTCTAAATTTCTAACAATGTTCTATAGATTTGGGTTTTTAACTTGAATTTAACAATAAAATGTCTGAAAATGAAATTACAAGGTACAAAGGTGCAACGTTGTTTTTAGGAATGGCAACGCTTGAAGCCATACCATAGCTTTAATAGTACATTTTGTAGTGTCCATGTACTGTTCATATCTATAGGCGACGGTTACCATTTTCCATCAGGTGGGCCGTCAACATGTTTACCATTCTAAGTTGCATAGAAAAACACAGTCTCTCGGCAACTTGATAAAAAACAGCAATTCGAGAAATAAAAAAAATGGCGACTTAAATTGTAAAAAT